CTAAGGAAGCAAGCACAGTGTGTGCGGTAGAAGGCGGGTGCAGCAAGCGTAGAGGTGCGTGGTAGAAAGAGTACAGAGATAATAGCGCAGAAGCTAGGCAAGTAAGGGCAATAGATCGCAGGGGATCACCCGACCGTCCGTGACCGACCGTGCTGCATTTACTAGTAGAAGAATTTTTTTTTCCAAAAAATAATTTTTTTTTTTAACTTTTTTAGGAAACACAAAACGAAATTTCCCAAAAAAGTAGTGAATTTTCGACGGCTCAGGAAGTACAGACTCAGCCTGCATTCGCATAGACTGAAGATGTCTTCGTAAAAGTCCCAAAATTGTGGCGGATTTTTGGGAAATTTGGCTCGGGAAATTGGGCGCTGTGTACAGCCAAATCGCAATATTAGTATATTATTAATTTAAATTATATTATTAATAAAATCGAATATAATTTTATAATTTAATATTATTATTAATTTAATTTAATAAAAAATATTATTCCATTTATTTTTATGATTTATTCGAAAACTATGCCAGCCAAATAAATATTCCATATAGGGAGTCGAATCAAATGATTGTTCCAAATTCGATAAAAATTCGAATTGAATAATATTGAATATATTTTCCAAATGTTTATCCCAGGTGGACCTCCCAAATGGTCGGTTATTCCAAATAATGTATGAAATTTATGAGATTCCAATATTTGGATTATTTAAAAATATTTTCTGTCGGATTCCATTAAATGGAAATCGTATGCGTACCTATCATGTCGAAATCAACTTCCAGATCTTGCTTCCAAGAATCCGAAAGGATTTTGCAGGGTGGCAACACCAACCCTTTGTATATGAGGAGCCTGTCGGCCGAGACTGCCATGACCTCCTTGAACTTCGATGCAAGGGATCACGCAGTCAAACTTAAGCTTGACAGCTTTCAGCATAAAGTGTGTCCAGACTGATAAACTAGGCGTTTGCTTATTTTGCTTGTGCCTTTGTACAATTACAAACATTTACAATCAAGTACCTATAATTGCAGGGTCACACTCGATGCTCAGCGCGAGCTTCATGATTTCCATAACAGCTCAAACACTGCGGAGACGCCATGCATATTCCATGCCTATGCGGGCATCAAAACTTCTCGGTGATTGAAACTCTGCTCAGATCACCCTATCAAATTTGAAGGTTCGCGCAGGCCATCACAGGCGAACGCTTTCTGCGCCGTCGTTGACAAGCAAGTTCCGATTCGATGGAGACTGCGGGTCCTAAACAAGATGTGAACATGGCACGGCGCTTTCAAACATCCCTGGCACGCCATGGATACCCAAATCATTTTGGTCTGGCTTTAGAATGCGAAACTCTGAGAAGAAATATCGCGAAAAGGTTGCTAGAGATGGAAACGAATCTGCTGGGCCTGCTCGCTTTCATCCTCTGAGTCGGAAAAGACTTCGTCATCTGAAGCACTAAAATCGCTAAAATTGGGAATTTCAGCATAGTCATCCCATAGTCCTCGGAGGATGCAACGGGTTGATTACCGCCACATAATCTACAGAGACCAAACAAGCCAAGAAGTCGGCAACAAGAAGCCATCCCCGCAACATGATAAAGACTAGACCTAGACCAAAACATGAAAATACTACGACCTCCAAATTGGTGACAACATGTGACAACTGTGTGTGCAATTGGTTTGCACATGCTCTTGGTTTGGTTCATTGATGGGATTTCAGTCGAAACGTGGGTGAAAAACTCCAAAATCAACCAGAATGCCCCAACTATGGTCTCCCTGGGCTTAGCTACAGACCATACAGACCGGCTTTAGACAATGCCAATGTGCCCTATAAGGCAACATTCGCTGAAATGTTGGGCAAAAAACGATGTCATTCTGAAGGTGCTCCAACATTCATGCCAGTCTGAGGAAGTGCAACATGACAACCAATTTTAGAATACACTATGCTTCTTTGCCTGGTGTGCTCCCCTTGCTTTCGCAAGGTTTGTTGTTCACAGCAGATTGGCTTCAAAGTAGAACATTACTGGCCAGAATGAAAACGGGGTCACCAAAGTGTGGCGGTCCGCACAAGCATTCCAAGAAAACAACTCCAATCCGGCTAGACTTGGACTTAGGTCAAAAAGGTGTTTGCCGGTGGTGTCAGATGCAGCAACCCAAATTCAAAAACCTGTCTCCCTAACCATTGCTTGAAGGAATTCATGCTAAATGTCTTGCTTCCGTTTTCCCTGAAAAGCTCTCCATGAAAAAGCCGAGCACAACTTGCAGGCTGAGCCACCGGTGGACATCGACTGGAATTCCGAAATCGAAGAGTCCTGCACTGCTCAGTTTCGCCGCGCACTCCCTTTCATCATGAAGCGTTCAAAACTGACAGAGCTAGCTGACAGGACATCCTTGCGGCTACGCTTGGACAACGATAATCGCCGCAATAAAGTTGGAGAAATAGATTTCTGGGCCTTGCGCGACATCACGGTGACATCCGGTTCACTAGATCCAAACAAACAGAATAAAAACAGAATAAACCTTGTACAATTGTACAGCTTCAGTCAACTTCAGTCCATGCGGCTGTCGGAGGTAGCTCATCAATCAGTTCCTCTCATCCACTCTCCGAGTGTTCAAACGTTTGACTCATAAGGTTTTCTATTTTTCTCAGCTCATTTCTTGACACGGAGAAGCACTTCGTCCTGAAGGACCTTTTCGTAGTGGCGGACAGTCGCTGGGTCACCACCTCGCCGAGTCGCCAAGGCAATTTGTGGTAAACAAAGGATGTCGCAGCATGTCGCAGCCAATGTGAGGCCCTGATCACACAACTAAACTAACTAAACAATGAGCCGTTTGGTGAAGGTTCAAGGTTCGGATATTCTAATACAACTCCTGATTCATTGCGGTAAATCCAGCGTTTTGATGGCCGCCCGGCCTCTTCCAATTCGAATCTGTAAAGCAGCAATCTGCCTTTTCAGCATCATTTCCTGAGAGGCTGCACGGTGGCATTGACCCTGACCCGTTCCAGCTCTACCTTGCACCTGGATGAAAACATCCTTGAGTCAAGAATCGGGCGGCTCTTCGGGAGTGAGTTCGATCACAGCAAACCGAACATCGTACGGATCCGTGTCTGGGTCGTAGCCAGCCTTCAAGCAAAAAGCAGATCGTGATAAGAACAAGAGTGGCAATGGTGTTCTGACATCTTGCCAATCGTTGACAATCAAACTCATGTGGCCCATAAGACAACTAAAATAAATATGCTCCCAGCCCATTCATTCTTCCGCAATAAGCCACGACAAGTCTTGCACCTTGGTTGCGCGCAACTTTTTCAGAACGGGTTCGGTGCAAATGGCTCCAAAGTCAGCACTTAACATGTCCTGTGATTGGAAGCTGGAAGCTGTAGAGAATGCTGGTGAGCTGCGATGACATACAATCATCGAAAGGCAAACTCAGTGCAACAGGAGTGATGAAATACAGGATGTCGCAAATCGTCAGAAGCATCAAAGGAAAACCCTGGAATCCGTCAAATTACACAACTCCAACTACTAGAAGCTTATGCAATCGAAAAAGATTTTCCAAACATGTTCATTCCACGCATGGTATGCTTGAACTCTGAATTTTGTTCAGGAGCTTGGCGAAAACCTCTTCGTGCAGAGTTGTGCACGTAGTCGTGAAGCAGTTGAATACATTCCAAAACATCTTTGGCCTGGACATGTGTCTTGACCAGGAAACAACTCCGAGCCAGTCTGTTGCCATGATCCCAGCCTGATAAATGGACGAGAAATAAAGGAATGACGATCAGCTATATAGGACGCAGAGTTTCAAGTTATGTCAATGTAATGTTGCCAAACCTGTACCACAATGCCATGTCTCTTCTCTTGGTTGACAGCTCATTTCTGCAAAGCCCTCCAACGAGCCTAAATTGCAACGGTTCAATACTCAGCGGGCAAGATCCAGCTGAATGTCACAAATGGCATGTCCCTGTCCAAGTTTCACCTCAAAGATTCATTTTTCTTTCAAATGAAATCCATCACTCACTTCCTGCCAATTGAGCAGGTCAAAAGGTGTGGGGTCAAAATCTGTATGGCATAACTGACATCACACAATCCATCACAGGAAATCATTTATGATTTACATTGAAAATGAAGAGGAAGACAAAAATAGTGACTGAAAACTCACAAAAAATCTGATCCGTGATCTTGAGAGTTAAATTTGTTAAATCCGATTGTATGAGTCAAAGCTATTTGCTCAAAATTTTATCGAGCACGGGGAGAGTCCTACAGCTCCACCATTGACTCGAGTCCCCAACAAAATAAAGCAAAGCAGGTGGTCAAAAAGCCAATGCAGTTCAAACAATAAGTTTTTTCTACATTCATAGCTTATCTATCTTATCTTATATAGCTTCATATACAGTAGATTCAGTAGATATCACAGTTCGCACATCAACAGTACAAACATGTACACACAGACTTTTGTTTGGTCATTCATAGCTGCCCATGCTTTCTGACCCTGGAGTGCACTAACACGGATGAAGGTTCATTTGGCTCTATATACATTCACCAAACTCAGTGGTGGAATAATCTCAGCTTGGTGAAAGCCATTGCCTGCCAGGGCGACAGAAAACTTTGCACACTAACATTGAAAACATGCATTGCCATTCACTTTGCACACTGACATGTCACAAGCCCAGCACCAAAGTTTGGACATCTGACTGGGAGCCAGGCCATGCCATAGGTGTTGCATGCTTCGATGACCTCTGCATCTGCAACGGAACCTCCTGGTTGCGCAACGTACTTCACGCCCAACCTCAGTCCAGCCAGGCTGGTTATATTAGCTCTGGATAGCTCTGGCAGATTGATGCTGATTGCAGCTGATTGAGCAAGATCAGCTCAGCTTCAACATATTTCAACATGCTGCGACGAAGTTGTCGCTTTGGGACCCGCCTTGTAGCATGATCTATTGAGTCGCGGAAAGGGAAGAAGGCATCGGAGGAGATAGCAACACCATCAAGACCTGATATGTTCATGGTTTCTTCAGGATTGCCTCCATAGAACGGCTCAGCAAGCCAAAGCTCAATCTTTCTAAGATGTGATTCTCACGATCTGAACACCAAGACACCCTTCAGAAAGGCACTCTTCTCCTCTGTGGTCAAGGCTTCTGGCCTGAATCTGAGTCAGAGACTAAGAATCAAGAAATTTAAAGCATGTGAGCGCTCACGATGTGTCCTTGTTTTAGTTACCTGGGGTAAAATGCATGGCATGGACAAGCTCAGCTTTGCACGGAGCATCGAAGTTTTTCAACCATTCAGTCTTCTCTGCTTCTTCCATGTCACCCTCAATGTAGCCTAGTCTTGGGCAAATCCAGCAAAGCTATGAGAGTTGCAAAAAATGTATTGTTTGTACAACTGTACAACCATCAAGCTGTACACTGCCTTTAGACTCTCAAGTTACAATGTGAGTCAATGTGACATGTCCCTCGAGTTTAGGAACGGCACGTACTCTTGCGTTCACACGATCCTGTCGCTTCACCTCAATGCGGTCGGAGCCAAGTTGTACCAAAGAACGGCCCATGTTTTGACCTGATCCAGAAATTTCATGTTGAGGTATGGCAGGTATGGCAGGTATGGCAGGTATGGCCGATAGTGATCCGATAGTGATATCAAGTGATATCCGACTTCACCTGGTTTTTTAGTTCATGCCCTTCAACGATGGGTAAGTTGGCATGTTGGTCCTCAACACAGCCAGTTTGACAAAAACCCTTGGCCGGTGCTACAGAGCAACGCAGGGAACACAGGAAAATGGGTGCAAGACAATATCGCTGAATGCAGCAGGTAGACTCGATCCATTTCACAAAGAAACAAATGGTTACCAAATGAATAGAAATAGATTAAAAGCTAAATAGATGATGTGTTACAGGCTCCCCTTGATATGCAGCTGGAAACCCTGAGTTCACAATCCAAACATGTCCAAACTCCATGGTGTGATTTCCGTGGATCATGTGAAGAGTCTGCAGTGCTCTTGGCCCATCACACCGTCCTTGAATTTCAAGCCTTTCACCTGAGCAGTCCGCGGAGTCGCCCAGTTTGTTATGGGCTCATGAACAGTCAGGGCAGTCAGGGCAGTCAGGCCAGTCAGGGCAGTCAGGGCAGTCAGGGCAGTCAGGGCTCGGGCCTTTGGATGGAACCTTGGAGCAAAACTGTCGCTGGCCAAGCCAGCTAAGCGCCAGCTAAGCGCCAGCTAAGCCTTTTGTGATGACCCAGCCTCAACCACCAGGTTGCGACTTTGCGTCCGGCCAGCTTGACACAGTCCACGCCTGAGCGCAGTGAGGCCAAACAAGTTCACATCAGCTTAGATTCACTATGATCAATGATAACGATAACAGTAATCATTCGATAACCATTGATAGCATGCATTCAGCTCCTAACGGCTCTGCTGCCCAGCACCAACACCAATCATCATGCCATCCTGCAGGGCCACTTACCACGCTGCACATGTCAGCACAGCAAAGCTGAAGACTTTGCAATCATTACTGTGAGACTTTGCAAAGACTTTGCAAGATTGTTCCAGAACTGCAGCAAACCATGGCAAAGCATAGGAAACCGCAAACAAATCAAACAAGCTGTCCACTCCTTGCTGTAGCCCACCGAATTGGATTGCCTGGCTAAGCGACCACAAGTAAACGTACGTGCCCAGCACCCAAGGGGAGGGCTGACGTGTACTTGATGGCGATGGACGCAAGAATCAGGTCCTTCCTGAGTTTGAAGCAGGTAGTTAATTAAAAGAAAACTGCCTTTGGTGAGGAATTGTCACACCCACTAAAGCAGTGGAAGAGGCACGCGCTGCAGGTGGGTGAAGGAAAACAAATTTCGTAGGGAAGGAAGGATACGGATTTTCATGTTGGTTCGCGCTCTGACGATGGCTACTAAGGAATCTATATAGTGAGAATCCGTCCTAATTGATATCATACTCTAATCTTGCAAAACCTTGTACGGCCTACTGGCTGCCAAGATCTTGTGATCTTTTTTCCATGCCAGAGCCGCAGCATTTATCTTGCTTGGCAACCCGTTGATTTAGTACTTGAGAGATCTTAAGAGGGTAAGGCATTTGCTGGGGATGCAGTTCAATCTCCAACGGGTGAAAAATGCAAATTATCCTAAAAAGCAACAAAAATTTGATCAACTGCTAAGCCCGAGACTGCGCCTTGTCTGGCAGTGTCTTTTGAGAGGTCACAACCTGCAAGTCCATCGGTGTGCAGTTGGTCAATGATCAGCCAGAGATTCTCAGCGTGCCTCTTTCAACTTGGATGCATCGAAGAGCGCATCATTTCTTTTCTGCATGAAGCCTACGCCGCCAACCTTGCGAGAACTCCGCAACACATCAGAATGACTAAAGAAAAAGACTGAGTGGCGAGGCCATTCGATATTCCAGGTCGGAGTACTGAAAGTTCGGATCAGCCTGCCAGTGGGCCACTGTTCCGTATTTCCCAGCAGCAGATTCCTTGGGATTCAAACAGCGAAGTGGCCTTGAGGACGATGAATTTGCCGCCTTTCTTTGCCTCACAGTGGTGAATTCCGACTTACACGCCACCGCTAACCTTCCCGACTGGCCCCACCTTGAGAACTTCCAGAGCTTCTGGAACAAAGGATGGAGCCTCAAGCCACAGTAGATGTGAAAAGAAATAAAAAGGTTCTTAAAATTGAACTGGGAGCTGCCAAACTTCTCATCTTGATGAGACTTGATGCCCCTTGGGTCAGGTTCGTGCAATGATGCCATCGCTAACTTCGATCTTCAAAATCATTGCAGTGGCCTGAGCCGGCACTGTCACAAGCAGACACCAACATCCACAGCTCCGCGCGGCTTGGACTTTGACCATATCCACTTCGTGGGAAATTGCTACGAAGTCGCCGAAGGAGCACATGGGATCAGCATTTCGAGCTCGAACATAGGCTGCAGCCTGGAGTTCACTGAGCTGCATATTTAACAACTCGGCATTGCTTGCCATCCCTGCATTGCTTGTTGAAACTTCAGGAGCAAAGCCCGTGGCAGTTGCTGTCATCTCCTTGTCTTTCACTTCGTAGACTATTCTCTCCTGTGGCTTGGCTCACATAAATTTCATGACTAGTGACTAGATGTGACTAGTACACACAGGCGTTGTCGCGTTGTCGCTTGCTCCATCCACACAGGAAAGAACAAATATTGACAATACGGCTACAATATGTCCATCAAAATGTTGCTGTACGACTGCATCTACTGGACGGTATATCAGATATATCACTTCTGAATGCAGAAGCTCATGTCCATTCTGTATCTGTGCTGTTGTCTTGCGCAAAATCCTCGTCGCTCAGTGGAATGCCAATGGCTGCGCCAGCAGGACTCACATGTTTGAAGGATGCAGCAGCCTGTGGCTCAAACTTGAGAGGGATGCATCAGAAGTTTGAGGTGCAACAAACATCAAAAAGTTTGGAATCCTTGATTGCTGTGTGGACATAACTTCAACGAAAACCTGCACTTAAAGAAAAAAAACAAGAGAAGTCTGAGCGAATCTGCGGGGTAGAGTTTGCCAAAAGTGGTGGCAGAACTTACATGCAAGCGTATTTCCATTATGTGTGGTTATGAAATGCTACTTGTACAGTAAGAAGCCTAAACAAAGTGTCCACTCAGGCTTTGGGGTGGACTTATCTTCCAAGCTTTCCGTGGAGACGGATGTAATGCTCCAATCGAGACAATAATGTTACGAGCTGTACAGGGAGTAGTTTGCAGGTGTAGAATATGCCGAAACGGTGGCCAAAGAACGTTGCAAGAGACTGACAGGAAAATGATGTGGTGGCAAATTCTTGAAGAATTGTCACAAGAGAGGGTCAAGACTTGTCACATGCGAAAATTAGGCGCCTTCGACAAATCAAGTGTTTCTTCAGAGCTGAGTAGCCCTGAAAGTAGCCGAAATTTGCAGAGTGTGGGCGTTGAATTTGAGACTTCAAAATTACACATTCCCCGTCGCTCAAAAGACACTAAAAACTGCAAAAAAGAGTTGCAAACAAGAAGCTGGAGGAAGAATGTTAAGATTTAAAAGAAGATGTCAAAAGGGGTGCTGAGAGAAATGCAATCAAAGAGGGAAGTGCTGGAAAGGATTGCTGAAGGAATAGTTTGTAGTGAGTGCAGCGGTGTCAAGGAAAGCAACAATGGAAGAAGTGGAGGAGCACTCCGAGTAAGAAGTTTGGAGCAGAGTGTCAGGGGTAGAATTAAAATGACCTTTGGATGCAGCAGTGAAAGAATTCGTGTGGCAAAGTTTGACTTGAACTTGGCAATTAAGAGGCTCTACGACAGAGAAATTTATCATACAATTGATGAAACCTGGGGTGATTTTGATTAGGGAAGGCCCGCCAAAGTGAAGAATGAATACTAAAGCCTCAAAAATAAGTGATTGAAGGCATGCCCTCTCCCAAGTACTGAAGTCCACGAAGTCCACAGAACTCAGGTAGCTCATGTTCCATTTTGACCCAGTGCAAAGCAACAGGAGCAAATTCTCGAATCAAGTCTCTTCCAAAGCCAAGTAGACCTTTGCTTTTTACCCCTGTGCTAAGTCTGTCCATTCTAGCTACTCGTTTTCTGAGGTCAAATAGGAATCCTGTATGATAATCCGAATGAAAGCTGATTCCTTCTGGTCCCGAAAAAAAAACCTCTTTGGCTTGGCTTCTGAAGGCAACGTGATGACGTGATGCATTCTCCTGCTGCGATGTCTGAGGAATTAGCTGGCAAGCCAGTTGCTTGAGACAGTTCGTGAACCAGTTGCCACGCATTGATTGCATCCAGCAAATTGATGTAACCGGGCCTCGAATGGAAAGTTGGAGTTCCCCAGGCAGCAAAACAAAACAAACATTGAAATCATTGAAAGACCAACTGAAGATCACCTGGGGCCCATGCGTTCCATTCACAACCTCACAGCCCAAAAGTTTCATCCAAAATGACCCGGTTGTTTCTCATGACATCTTGGATACCAACATGTCATTTACTAAGGTACTAGCATCAAAGGGAAGCTTCTTACCAGCAACTGCACAAAGGCCTGCTGGGAGCTGGTGCCTCAGCAGATCGTTTTCTGTCTTGCCTGGTTTTGCACGTGCTTCTGGGGGAACATCTGCTGATCTGAGCTCTGGTCGGATTGCATCCATACTTCAAAGGCATCTCAAGCCTCAATCCATGAGATGGCATCATGACACAACACAGATCCTGGAAGTTGCAAACTTTATCATGTTAGGTGCTCCAGCTCAAATGTCACGGTCTTCTTGGCTGGAGGTTCTGTGACCTCCAAGACGGCAATTCAAACGGCTCTCAGGTCTTCTATTAGTCTTCTATCATGTTCCAAGATGAAAATTCACGGCTTGATGATACTTGATGCAGATCAGGATGATCCATCGGATTGATTTCAATCTTGAAATCAAACAGGGAAGAAATGTGGCTGCCTCTCCAGCAAGCCATCCGCTTACAGCAAAATCATATGCGGATGTCAAACAGTAGGCAGCAGCCTCAACAGAACCAGCAGCAACTGGTAAAATGTGGTAAAATACAAGTTCAATAGATTTTGAACACAAAAATATGAGCAAAAACTGAACCCTCCAGCTGGTTGTTTCATGAACTCAGGTGTTGACGGCCATGTTCTTCCTGAAGTTGAAAGTCGTGCAGCCGTTGTTGTCGCCTTAGCTGCATCTGAGGTTTCCCTGGCATGAAATAACAGTGCCACACCCCAGGCTCTTTTCTGTGGATCTCCCTGGATGTCATGTTGATTCCTTACATGCCTTCCTGTGCAACGAGCTAAGAATGGGGCTAAGTTCCTGCGTGAACTTGGCATACTGAGAAGGGCTGGTGAGAATGGTCCTCAGCCATACGTTCTGGCGATTCACCCAGGCCTGAATGATGTGAATGTCAGTTTTAGGATCTGGGGATCTCCTTGAAAGTCACAAGTTGTCAAGGAAACGAAAAGCATGTGTTCTTTGACAGTCGCAAGATAAGACCCTGGCACAGCTGCGTTGTTCTTGGCAGATGCCCGAATCATTGCTGGTCCACCAATGTCAATATTCTCAATACAGGTCGCCTGCATGGTGAGTTGCCAAATGAACGAATGCACTGCAAATTCACTCCGGTCTGAGTCTCCAGCGAAGTCGCCACCTTTGGCCACCTTCAGTATGATCAAATCAAACCCAATCGGTTAGGTCAGAACAGCCAGGTCCGGACGGCTTCTTGGAAAGGGTAAAGATTGACAACCTGAAGCGGACTGACAACTTGGAAAACCAAGGAAAATCAAAAACGTCGCCCAATGCCCAAGTCGCAGACAACAAGATCGATTTTGCGGATGCCGTGTTTTTCCATTTCAGCCTGAGGTGATGAAGCAGGAAGCGTGTTATCTTGTTCGTTGTTTTTTTGGGTGTTGTTCCTCTGTATTTTCCTTGGGGTTGGCTTACTCTACAGAGATTGAGAGAGTGCTCTGTTTCTGCCCCCTGTCATTCCATGGCAAAATCTGCTCAGCATCACCACGGACCTCATGTCCAGCGTTGCCACGGGCAGCAAGCAGGCCACCATGGACCTGCAACATTTTTTCGCTGCAAAAAACGATTCACACTTTGCATACACGGACTGAGAAAAGGTGATCCAACCTTTGGGTGCAGTGTCTTCACGCGACCATCCAGAATCTCAGGTGACCTCAGAAAAAATCCCTCGCGCACAAAATTGTGTGTTGTGAGGCGTTAAACTCTACAAAAAGTGGCAGACCCGGTGTAGTCGGCAACATCTTGAACCTTGGGTGATCACATTGGGGTAACATGCTGCAATATTTCCGTTGCCACTGGAAATCCTATACATGTGGTGAGCTTGATCACAGGATACTAGGACTCGCGCAGTACAACCCAAGTCCCTGAGTTTTGCAGCGGTCCCACCAGTCGAAAGGATATGAACCTGGGACACTTTGCAAGGATTCGAACATTCTGTTCATACAAAAATGCCCCAAACATTTTGTTCACCTTTGGGCAAGTGTGTTGTGATTTTTTCGTTTTCTCCTCCTCCGTTTTTTTTTTGTCATTCGAAATATAACATGACTCAATGCACGAAGACTCTGTCAAACAATCCCTAAAAAAAGGCCCTCCGTCTGCCAGTACGTGCTGTACATGTGTGTGTGTGCGTCTGTGTCTGTGTCGGCGTTGGGTGGATTGCCCTGGCAGGGCACGGTAAGTCATGTTTTTTTTTTCCAATACAACTCAGCGCTGAACTCCTTTGGAAGCAAGGAACTTGCCAAGGTCTTCAAGTCCAGCCCTCAATAAAAACGGAAACCAGAAATAAACCGAAGACGTTGCAAACAAATTGAAGCAAACGAAAACCATTGGCACACAGCAAGTTTCAAACCGAGCCATACACTTGTCAAAGACAGACACCAAGGCTGTCTTGATTTCAACCTGAATGGGTTTCCATCTGAACACGAATCCAGCCATGAGTCACAACCGGCCTTGTCAACAACTTCTGCGCTCACTGATGCAAGGGTGGCAGGACCCATCGCTAAAAAGCCTGCGCGAATCAAGGCAGTCCCAAGTTGGACTGAGATCAAACATTCATTTACAAAAAATGCGGTTTGTTCAATGGCATACCATCCTTCGTCCACCACAAGGCTCGATGCAAGCTTTCTTTGAGCCAACCGCATTTATGTATGTACATATATATATATAAGGTGGTTGCACGTAGTCAAAATTTGAAGCCAAATAAACAATATTAGTGAATGATTATTTTGTTCCGACACTCAATGCAATGCAAATTCCCTTATTACAAAATTGTATTTTTCGGCAAACCCGAAAATGCAAAAAAAATTGGGCATAACACTCAAGGACACAACTGATTTCAAAATGCAAAACCGTGCAAATTAGCCCATGTGAGGTCTTCAAACGAAACAGAGAACAAGTTGCTGACACGGCAAATCATTCAAACACGAAGGGGTGTCGTTCGAGATTCACTCAGACGAGAATTTGATGTGATTGGTTTGTTTTTTGTCAAACGGAACCCAATGTCATCAAACTTCAAAACTGAACAAAGTGCGGCACTGGACTTGTTTTTTGTGATCCAGATCGTGAGGCCAAAATGGTGTTTTTTCTGTAAGAATCAATTGGGAATTATGGAAATTTGTGATGCCCATTTTTTGGCGGTGACGAAACAAGAGTTTCCTGTCGCTAGAGTGAAATGGTTTGGACAAATAAATGTTTGTGCAATTTTATGAATCATTTAGTTTAGTTTTTTTCCCCACTTGCAAAATGAATGGTTTATCCAAGCTGCAGGCCCCCAACCTCCGCCTCCACCTCCACCTCCACCTCCACCTCCACCTCCTCATCCGCCACCTCCCGCCTCGCGAGCTGCAGGACCTCAACTGCGGGCTCCAGATTTCAGTGGGCAGTGCCGGACCTCAACCACGAGCGCCAAAGCCCAGTGGGCACTGCAGGACCCCAACCGTGAGCACCAGAGCTCAATGGGCACTGCAGCACGTGACCCGCGAGCGCCAAATCTCAATGGGCACTGTCAAGACACGGCATCAACCCTTTCCAACCTTCCAAAACCACTGCAATAGAAGTGTTATGGATCATGCTAATCTTTGTCACCCCACCTCTAAAATCTGTAGCCCTTATTGCTTTATTGACGTTGGCCTTTACAATAACTTCTTGTCCCTGTTCCTTGACCCAAAAATCCTACTGATCATGCTTCTGCAATTAACATGCTGTTGTTCAAGTTACAACGTCAGGAAACCCAAGCTGCGCGGCACTCTTTTTGTCAGATCGGGGGAATGTCACGGTTGAGATGATAGGCATCTCGTTGCTGGCCTGTACAATGTCTTCCAAGCTCGCGTTCAAGTCCATCGGATTGGATTGAGTGATGAAGCATGGAACTGGTTGGATCGGTTTCCAACTTACCCCCCCCCCTGTTGGAGAGGGAGGGCGGGAAGAAAAATCTTCAAATTGAAGTGATTGAAAGTGGAGTTGATTTTTGATGATCATGTTCACGACAATCTGTTGTACATTTGTTTGAACTGTTGTGAACATGGATAGGAACATGATAGGCTCTGTTGCCTTGCTTGCCTTCTCTGATGAAGGACTTTAAGCCAAATGTCACGTCATTCATAAAATCACTCCAATTTCACAGGTTGATACAAGAAGATTTTTCTAATATGATTTAACAGCTTTTACTTATCGATTTATGTTTCTTTGACATGGTTAAACTCAAACGCTCAGATCTTTTGTCACTTGAATTCGCCATACGTCAGTTTAGGATTTTTGGGAAATTTCATGTATGTGTACATGAAATAATTCAAGTCACAGTTCCAAGAAAGTACTATCCACGTTGTGTAAACGCCCTTCTTGTCCCTGTTCCTTGACCCAAAAATCCTACTGATCATGCTTCTGCAATTAACATGCTGTTGTTCAAGTTACAACGTCAGGAAACCCAAGCTGCGCGGCACTCTTTTTGTCAGATCGGGGGAATGTCACGGTTGAGATGATAGGCATCTCGTTGCTGGCCTGTACAATGTCTTCCAAGCTCGCGTTCAAGTCCATCGGATTGGATTGAGTGATGAAGCATGGAACTGGTTGGATCGGTTTCCAACTTACCCCCTTATATTAAACCGGGCCCTTCTGCTTGGGATCTTTTCGATTGGCTGCTGCCTGGGATAACCAAGTTGACACTATGTCAAGGCACGAAAATCCATTCACAAAGGTGGCTCCCCAGCGATCGGCTGCTGCTCGGCCCTCCATGCGTGAGGGTTCGTCAGCTGGATTGCTTTTGCTAGGGACCCTCTCTATCCACCAGAAAGGTGGCAAATGAACCTCTATCAAGTAGAAGGTTTTGATCAAACCGTCCATGGTCGGACTGCTCGATCTTCCTTTCACAGTGCCCCCTCTAGCAGAGTTATTATCTACGAAAAGAAGCACTTTGCGGTTATGGAGTTCATGTTTCCATTGCCATCTCACAAGGACCATCGCCAACAGCTCTATTTGGCAGATCAGTTGATCTCCTACCAATCCCTTCCACAAGGACAACAACCCTTCTGGCACCTGATCTTGAACGACGACTCGTGAGCCTGAAGATTCATCAAGAAGCACGGCTCCAAGGCCCCCAAATCCGTCTTCCCACGACCCGTCTGTAAAAATCAGGATGGTTTTTGAATTGATAGCCACTGGGATGATACGTGGTTTGGTATTTTCCAGCATCACCAGGACGTCACAGCACCAGTCCTGTGTTGGTTCGGCCATGCTCTGATCTTTGCCCACTAAGGAGAAAATTTTGAAACAGCTGTATCTCAAAGACCTCCCCGCAAAGTCTGTGGCAAAGTTTAGTAACCCATGAATCTCCTGAGCCTCTGGAAGAGACATTTGGCCTGATTGCTGGACCTGCAGTACTTTAGCCGCTATCTTTTCCACCCTGCCTTCTTTGTTTTTCAAGGTGAGGTGTCCCGTCGATTCTAAGTTACTCAGATCTAAAGTCATACCCAAGACATCGAAGGATGGCGAGAAGGGCTTTCCCTTGGGACCCGTCCTGTCGTGACGCCAACCCAACAAGTCCAAGAAATCCGACACCAGGGCATCGGTGTCTTGAGAAGAACCCTCAGGCGAGAACATTGGATAATCATCGAAGTACACCGCAGAGGGTACCTTGAGAACTACGTTCACCAAGAACCAAATGGATCTGCTCACCCTGTTAAATGCGTACACGGCGGCTGTGGAGCCAAACATAAGGGCATAGGGACACAGTACCTAGGCTTGCCTTGGGAATCTCTAAAAAACACAACAGCTAGGTCCCTATGGCCGGGCTTGATGGGAAGCTGTTTGTAAGCCTTTGAAAGATCCAGGGTTTTACCAACCCAGTTCAGTCTCTTGTGTTTGCCCAATTTCAGTGCCATGGCTACAACGTAATCCGCATCCTGCAGGTCTTTTTGTGGATGTGTACGCAGAGTTGAGTTGAGCTTCTAATCCATCGTCTATAGGCCTCAGCTTTGCTCCCTGCTCAATTACAAACCTTCTCATGATTCTCTATTTTGAATGTCCCAACAGGTTGGTGACTTCTTCCGCGGAGTGGAAGGGGCCTTCTAGGAAATCTACATCCACCTCCTCTTGGGCCGTGGATTCCAAGTGGAGGCTAGCTTAAGCTTCATAGCATAGCAAGAGGGGTGATCATGGGTTCCTACAAGGGGGACCCCTTCCTTCATGAAGTGGACCACTTCCATGTCGTCATAATTGTTGAACTACTTTTTGAATTGAGGTTGGGAGGCCAGCGTGGAGTTCTTTTTCCTGGCTTTCCAATTGCCTAGACAGAATTTTTGCCTTTAACAGGTTCTTTTTCCTCTCTATGGATACTAATCTTGAAGAGCTCTTGGCAACAAAATCGATGGCATCATTTGTAATTTTATGCAAGGTATTCTCTTCCATCGGGTGTGAAGAGTGCAGAGCTTTGTTTACAAATTGTTCCGGGGTGTGCCATGTCCCCACAAGGATTTCTCCGGTGGTTGTTTGTGTCTGATCACCTTCTTGGTATTCTCTCCTGCTGGAAGAAGGGATCAATTTTTGGTTTTCAGAGTTTATATGTGTTCGGATGCCAGTCTGTTGTGGAAAACTCAGGGATGAGCTGGCTCCGTTTCTTATGCTGGCGATGTTGGACCGCCAGGGTCTTGATTCTCGGATTAGAGAGTGGACTAAAAATTTTTTTCCGTCCAACGCCATATGGCTTCCGCCAGGTCGTTCAACATGTTTCAAAGCATGTTGCATATGGGATTAATTGATTAATTAAGTCACGCAAAGGCCGATGCTGTAGTGGCCGCAAAAGTAAACTGGTAGAGGACCGATACATAGTCCTATGTACTGTCACGTTCATCAGAAAACAAGAAACGAAGCACAAAGAAACAAAAACAACAACAACACCAAAAACAAAAACAAAAAACAACACACACAAAAAGCAAACACCAACACAAACCACCAAGCAGTGACGTGACAGTTACCAGTTAATGGGTGAAAAAGATCAATTGAGGCAAGAGGTGATAGCTGCGCATGCAAATGACAACTTGTGTGCCATGTTGACGCAGGCCCATAAAACAAAACAACAACAAGACCAACCACAAAATCACAATGGGCCACTTCAGAGGGCGCAGGAAGCAACAAAGCTCAATGCGGAAACCAGGGATCCCCCCAGCCAGGATCCCCGAGATCACAAAGAGCAGCCTTCACGGCATAACATTACACCCAGACACTTTGAAGCAAACACTGACAACGCCGGGTCGCAACGAAAGTGGTGAGAAAAACTACCGCAGTGAAACAGGAGAGTGAAACATGGTCCAAGGTGAAAATGACAGGAAGGCTACGGCACTCAGGGCACACTCAGAGTCCGCTCAGTAGTGCTTTTCCAATCATCATCGCAAGGGTTATCCATGTGCATTGCCACGAGTGCTGAAAGGCCTGGTGCTCAGTTGTCTTTTTTCCCGCATCAGCATCAAATTGTGGTTGCGGTGAGCACCACTGTGCTAGTGCTCTTGCAAGTCCTCTGGCTGTATGATCAAGCTGCAGTATGGCTTTCTGCGCTTGGGTCACTTCGTAACTGGCAGATATTGTACAACTATCCAATATGTAGCCAATCTGGCGGAGTTGGCGTATGGCCGCATCAA